GACCACGTGATTATATGATTGACGACCAATCCTATCTCGCTCTCGCCGGGACCAGCCAATAAGAGACGCGATGCTTTGTTTTGGTGGGTCGTTTGAATCTTGCTTTGTCACAACGACGGTTTGCTTTTTCAAAACACGTTTGTCTCTGCTTGCAAAGATTACTAGTATGTTCCTGAACTAAAATGGCGTCAAACATTCCGTTCTGTTACTTCGTTTTCGCAACGGAAGAAATGACTCTACTACATGTGCCGACAATTTGCCGATTGCAAGGACAACACCGCAACGAACCTGGAAACCGACAGGAGGAAGGGTAAGCTAAAACACGGATACTATTATATACTAGTATACGGCACTATCGTTACATATATCTTAAACATGTTGTTTAAAAACCTTGGCTAAGTTGTGCCTACGGCAGAAATATCTATTTTGGCAAGAAGTGTACACTATTTTTTTTACTGATTAACAACATAGTTTATTATTTCTACTTAGAAGTACATCGATATAGTTTGTATGTTGCTCAGAACATATGTATTTTTTTCAGGCGCGGATTTGGGATACTTTGAGACGATTTGAAGAAACTTTATCGCCAGGCTGTCGGAGAGTTCAGAAAAGAAAGAAAGAAAAGCGGCTGCAGTCACACAGAAGAGGGTGAGTCTATGCAAATTTATATCTTTGCATACGAAAGCCGACAAGGCTCTTGACAATTTGAATTGTTTTCATTACCGAGGGAAATGTTGTGTTTGTATTGTTCCCATGATTACAATGAAAAGAAACAAGTAGACGTTGATTCTTGATGAATGGAGCCTTTTCATCTGGACAAAATTGTTGCTGTCTGACGTTAAAAAACATTCGTTAAAAAATGATAAATGACTTCTCGAAATGTGTCCATACAGACGTCCGCATCTTTGCCAGGCTTGTTTACAAAACTTCTAGTACATGTACACGTAACTTCAAATGAAATTCAAAAATGCCTTCGACTTTTGACTTAGATTTTCGTTTTTCCATGTCCTGCAGGCCAGGCTGGAGGCAAACAGGCAGGCTGCACACCCAGGCTCAGATCTATAAGGCGAGGGTGCTGTGTTAAAGCGCCCGGCAGGCTCCGACGACCCAGGCCGGCCCCGCTGCACTCCCGCCCGGGGTGCATCCCGCGCCCAGCACGCCGCTCCGGCCTGACTGCGATCACAACCGACACCATCATCACGCCATCCCGCAGACAGACAGGGGGCAGTTTGTCCTTCCCGGATGAAAACGTTTCGCTATGGTCCCCTGAAGCAAGGGGGGGGGGGGG